TCTCTGCTGTTGAAGAACTCAATTTTTAGCCATCCTTTGTCGACAACATGTACCCTCAACTTTCTTATTATGGAATCATCTTTTTCAAATCTGCAAGACATGGTGAATAAAGTCTTGACGTATAAGGAAGATTTAGGGATAATCGTCTCTTAGAATTATTATTATTTTCCTAAGTTTTTGTTAGGATGAAGTTCGCTAAAGTAGGTGGGCCATGAAATTGTCGGTCATTTTGAGCAGTAATTCACAAATAACGGCTAAAAGCTGTGCAATAGCTTAAGTCGTAACCGTCGTTACACGACCGTCATGATTCGGGAATCGATGTTGCTATGCCAAATCGCAAGTGTTACCTGACATAAAAGTCCTCCAAATCCGCGACCTCGGCCGGCTGAACCACGCTCCCTGAAAAAAACACATAAGCCCTTTGGCGAGGTACCATGTTATCCCACGCATTTTCTTCCTCTAACAAGAATTCCTCCTCATGTCTGATGTGCTTCCGTGTCGCGTTACTTGAACTGCATATCACACGCAGCTGTTTTGTAGAACCTAAGCTTGTATTTGCTGGAAGACAAGCTGTAAAAACTGCCACTTGGGGCACATCTTCTGTGTTAAAGCTACGCGCGTATTCGATTATTGGTGACACAACTGGTTTAACGCACCAATCTATCCAGCCCCAAAGTCTGCAACGAAACAAAAGCCACACCAGAATTACCTCCCTCCTGCAACTAGCTTGAGCTTAAAACATAAAATAATCCCCTTGCCTTTCAAAAAATATATAACGATATTGATAATAATAATAATAATAATAATAATAATATTACCAATAACAAAATCAAGCAAAATACAACAGAAGCAAAAGCAGAGCTCGTGTTTTTACAAAGCGCAAGAGGTAAATCACTTGTAGACAGTGCGCGAACAAGATTTCGATTGACAAGTGAGGCGAATTTACACAGGTACTGATTTTGTTTCGAGAGATGCCTTTGATCTACTAACAAGTAAATCAAATAAGATTAGGATGCAGGCGTACCGCGAGAAAATGAATAAACTTAGCTGTATGTTCCCTGATTTCGTCGTGCTAATTTCAACCCGATCTACCTTGATTTCCTACGTTTTGTTTCGGTTTGAGTTTTTTTTGTTCCGAATTAAGATTTTTCAAATATTGCTCCCCTTGTGACTTAAAGCGCTCATTAAACATCTAACAATTTGAAAGCAGATGGTTACTTTGGCATACCTCGAGAAGTGCTTCACGTTGAATTTGATGACAGTCCCCTCCAGCCAAGGGGGGGAATCAAGAACATCTGTAATTTCGGCCCATTCTCGTTCTGTTCCATCAGATGGTTGCAACAAGACTCGGGCACGGACGAATGAAGGATCAGGAATACCCAATGATTCAGCAGCCTGTTCCGTGTCTCTCAAGGATAACGGCAGCTGTACAGTGACTGGTTCCTGGAACTCCACCTCCTTACTGCACAGAATACTGAGTATCGGGCCAGCCAACATCTCTTTGTTTCTTAACTCTCTGCTGCGAAATTCTTGTATCTAAAGGTGATAGAGAAACAAAATTCAGTTAGTTGGTCGAGGGAGCGAGCCAACAATAAATTTTGGCCAGCGTAACATCCATTTCTAAAACAAGACAATTCGTTGGGAAAGATTTCCTTTTTCGAGTCCCCACGAGGAATCGAACCTAAAACCTTCGGATTCCGCGCTCCGATGCTCTATCACTGAGCCACAGAGACTCTACGGTGAGCGAGGTCTCTTACGAAGTTCAGTCATATGACACGCGTCCTGCATACTATTACGATCAGCAATGTCGATGGCGCCATCCGAAGGTCTGAGGTTCGATTCCTCATGGGGGCTCAGATTTTTTCTTTGTCCCACGCTCGCGACAAGACGAAAAACATCCTTCTCTATTTCTTTACTGAGGTCAAAACTTACCATCTCTCTTATTCCGTTTACAAATATAATTTGATGTAAATTGCCCACTATAAAGAGATCTTAAGCTGACTTTTCGAGCGTTAGCCCCTCTTCAGAACTAATATTTGAAATGTCAGCTTTAGAGAATCTAAACGATGGCCAATTCACATTATCTTAATCAGTCAAATATAATAAATTTCAATTTATAACGTGCGTATAATCACTTACATACGCTCATACGCGCATTTTTTTTTCTTATCGTACGAAATAAAAAGACTTCGTGTTGCCGTGCGTCGAGTTACAAAAGAAGCTCTACGCTCACAGTTTTCCTCACATTTTCCTCGAACTTCGCCCTTGGTCGCATCTCGGAACAGATAATGTTCGCGAACAAATATCCGAGCATGTTTTCGCGTCAAATGGAGGCTATTGTTTATATAGAGCGACAGACTACAAAAAAAGAACAACAATTTTGTACTTAATAAATTTAATGACTGAAAAAAAAACTAACTAACAAAAAATCTTTTTGCTTAATTCAAAGAACCATGTAACTAGCTGTAATTGTTTGACGCAATCAGACACTTACCGTGACAGTCACGTGCAATTCTTCTGCGGCGGAGACTGCGTTTGAGGGAAAGTACACTTTGACCAATGGGAAGCCTGGTAATGAAAGGGTGGACGGTTGCGAGGTTATGGTGAACTTGTGGGCCTTGAGACGGCAAACCACTGCAAATGTGGAACACTGGGTAATTTTAGTCTCAGCAACAGGAAGGCAATAATCAGGAAAATCATCGCGATAAGCTATCTGCAGATCTGAAAATAAGCCAAGGATGAAAATTCAGAACAAGTTACCAGTTTAAATGAGGGTCACTGCACTTGATAATGCCTTGAAACTTCCTCATTTCGGCTCTTTTATTTTCATATGTAACTTGGTAGGTCGACACTCTTCTCTAGTATGTATATTATGGTGTTATTGCTGGAAGCTTTTTGTACTGTGTAAGTAATGTTAGAATGATAAGTCATCAAACTCAGAAATGTTTGTTGCGCAAGTTATCTATTAGGTGGATCGTGTCCATATCAAATTCAAGTAAAAAAACACTAAACACAACAACACGAAACCGACAAAAACAAACAAACAAAGGAAAAGCCTTGGTAGGTTATTATTGTTCATTTTAACACCATACGGACCCTTTTGAAAGGGCCGATTTCATACTGTTTGAGTTAAGGGGCTTTTTGGTATTGCAGAAGCATTAAAACATGAACTGTAAATTCTTGGAAAAGACAAGTTAAGAAATCAAC